CTAAATTACGTTTGATTTTCGACATTTCAAAAATGTCAAAAAAACTGAAATAATGGGCCGTATGAATAAAGTTAAGTAAATGCTTTTACTTGTAATAGTAAAAGATAGACGTAATTGAGATTTTATAAGAAAGAAAGAGACAAAACTTTAGCAAAAGCTTTTGCTACATTTTATTCAATGTGTGAATCTGATATTAAAATTGTTGAAATGGAGTAGTACGTTCCCCTAGAAGTAAGAAAAACTGCTACAGAAGCAGTTGAATACTAATTTAGTAAAATATCATGCGTGACTTGACAATTTAAAAAAGAAAAAATTCCCGATATTTTTGTAATTTTAACGTTGGCTATCCTGCATATTACCGCCCAAAAGAAGTAATATTATTACTCCTCATGAGATATAATGACGTGTTTTCTGACCTTTAAAACGTTAGTAATAGGCATATTACTTTAGTGATTGTGAATAAAATTTGTACACAGACCTGACACCACCTACTTATTAAATCAAGGGTATTAAGAAACAGTTTGTCAAAAGTAAAGCTATTTAACAATACAGATTGTCAGGAATAAGAAAGGGTGAGGCAAGGAGCTTCTCTTTTTTATACAGAGTGCGCCAGAACTCGCGCCCCAGAGAAAAATGCCATATAAGGTAAGATACTAGGAACATGGAAAAAATGTTAAAAAAATTTTATCTACAAAAATTTGGAATGTATGAGGGTTTAACGTTTGCTTTGACTCCATTTATTCCTATTGGAAAAATAATTTTCCAAGTTTTTTTGCTATAGACTATTAAAAGAGGAAACAAGGAAGCTGTATCTTAAATTGTAACTCTGTTCAATGTTATTTGTGGCTTTTATTGACAAAATTTTTGTCCCATTACTAAATAATTGTAAAAAAACATATACAAGATCATCAGTATCCTTAAATAGATATAAAAAAATGTCAAATGTCAAAAAATAAATGTCAAAATTTTTCATGTTCCTGGTATCTTACCTTACTTGAAAATTTTCTCTGAGGCGCGATTTCTGGCGCAGCCTGTATACTTTTCTATCTTCTGAGCATTTCGCGGCTTTTCTTATTCTTAACAAGCAAAAAAAAAAAAAAATTGGACCTATTTTTTATAAAATATTGGTTTTTACAATTTATTTGCATACCTACTTTTATGTTTATTTATAATTTTATAATAAATAACACATTATATCCTACCAAACATCAAACTTTTTTTTTTTACATAATTATTATGATTATACCGTTTGGTGTTTGGAAAGATACCTAATGTGTGTTATTTCATTCCGACACAAAGAGGTGCAGATGATTATAGGTATTTTATTAAGTCTATGAAAAAAAAATCGACGAAGTGGCAAATTTCATATTTCGATCTGTCAAATTTAATTTTACAGGTTTTCCATATTTCGTTGCCGTTACCAGCGCTACTGGTTGATGATTTCCGCTTATACTATAAAAAAACAATCTGAAAAACGTGAAAAATAAATTTCTGATCAAAGTGGGCCGTAATTTTAAAGTTAAGTTGACTACATAAAGACATCTTTTAGTGTTGCCAACATAATTTCAAAGTCCCAGGCTAATTTAAATAGAAATTATATCTTTTTATTTCATTAGTATTTCACTAGTCTTTAATAATAATAAAAAATATTTTAATTTATTTAAAAAAAAAAACAACAATGGGAAAGGACATAGGGAATCGTGAATCAATATTAGACATGGGTCTCGTGGGGTAAAAAAGGGACAAATACATAGCAAAAAAAACGGGAGTAGAATATTTTATGGAAAAAAACAATTGAAAAGGGGGGAAAATTAACACAGTCGGACTGCTGATAAAAATAGTCACGGCCAAGGTTACAAGAAGATGCCTGGGAAGGTCGAACCAACTCAACGTACGAGTAGTTCGGATTTGTCAGCATAATAGAACATTAATAGATTAAGGAAAAAAAATTGTAATGTAAGTTTTTTTCTTTTTCTGGTTTACTCACACCATTTGGACGAGACGCCATCTCATATCACCATCCAAGGAGGAATGCTATCCTAGTGTAAGATCATAGAGTCAACTTGAGAAAACATCTTTAAATCATGCTGAAAACCCGGTGTACAAAGCCTAGAATTTGTCTTCTACCCTCCCATCGAGGTTTAACAAGACCAAGAGAGTAACACAACTTAAAATCGCTCCAGACAACTACAAAAGGGTCACAGAAAATACAGACCAAAGCGAAACAAGGAAATGCGGTCATGTCCCGACAAAAGCCTGCAAGGCGAAGTCTTGTCGAAGTAGGAAAAAAGCCAAAGCCGTCTCTCTGGTCGAAATTAGGAGGTAGATGAAGATCACAGGGATCCAAACAGATGAGCGAAGAACATCTCGTGGAGTGACCAGAAAAAGTTAGATTTGTAATCGTTAGGGTAGCACAAAATAAGGATTGTCGAGGCGACAATCTTGAAGGACTGGGATTATGTCACAAACAGGAAGTTCAGCCACCTTTTAGGTGGAACACCCTATCGTGGTTGCAAGCTATTGCTGAATTGGGTATTGTCAATACCTAATGAAGCAATCCCAACAAGCATTTTTTGTGGTAGCTACTACGTAACGTTTATTTTTTCTGGAACTTCAAAGTAAATTGCTACCATAGATTAATACGTAACTATAGCGAAATATCTTCGTAGATTTTCCCAAAGTGGGGAATAGCAAATACTGGTTTGTTACTATTTCGCAACTACCTAAATTACGTTTCAACGACTTCATAATTGCGACGAATTTACTCAACAGATACGTAGTAAAATAGTTTATTCGTCTTCTTTATGAAAGAGACCCATAATTCTACCGTCTTGTTTTCGTCTCTCTCAGAATTAGTTTTATTTGGTATTCCATAATGTCCAACAGTATTTCCTGTCTATACTCCCTAGCAATGGATACCAGTAATATAGTTCTACCCAGTATACAGGGTTATTCATAAATATGAAGCAATATTTGAACCTCAAAAATGACCTATAAAATGATGTTAATTTAAATAATAACTCGTGGCCTATCTCTACTGATAAGAATTTTACAGCCCTCGGAATGTGGGTATGGAAATTTGATTTTTTTGTAATAACTTTGGAACTATTTGACCAAATATTATAAAATTTTGAACATTTTCCTGTGACAACATACCCTTTGAACTGGTAATCACGAAAACCTGATACATCCACTCAATTTTTGCTCTCTTAACACCAATTTTTTATTACCCAAATCGATACAGTAATTAATTTCGATTAAAAAACGCATAACCTTCAATACCCCTAAAATGGACCGTTTCAAAGATATTTTAATTTAAACTGAGGACTGCACAACGCTGAAAATGAAAAATATGAATTTTGAATAAGTGGTACCCACGGCAACCAATGACCATGGTCACATAAATCCCTGCCAGGCATCTGTTAACTTGGACGATAGATTTTTGTGAATTTTTTATGAATTAAATGCTACGTGATCCATTTGGATTTATTCTAAGTTATGTTTGGAATCTGAGGTAAACTCTTTTATTAAATATTTTCGATTAATGGTCTAATAATCGTCCAATGTCAAAGTTGACAGATGCCTGACAGCGATTAGTGAGACCATGGTCATTTGTTACCGTGGATATCATCCATTCAAAATCCCTACTTTTTRGTTTCAGCGTTGTGCAGTCCTAAGTTTAAATTAAAATATCTTTGAAACGGTCCATTTTAAGGGTATTAAAAGTTATGCGTTTTTTAATCGAAATTGATTACTCTATCGATTTGGGCAATAAAAAAKTKGTGTTAAGAGAGCRAAAAAATGGAAAAACACARAAAATGTGACCWGCAACTGTTGGAACCGGAAATTGAGTGGATGTATCCGGTTTTCGTGATTACCAGTTTAAAGGGTATGTTGTCACAGGGAAATGTTACAAATTTTATAATATTTGGTCAAATAGTTCTAAAGTTATTACAAAAAAATCAAATTTCCATACTTACATTCCGAGGGCTGTAAAATTCTTATCAGTAACACGAGTTATTATTTAAATTAACATCATTTTTTAGGTCATTTTTGAGGTTCAAATATTGCTTCATATTTATGAATAACCCTGTATACATTACTAAATAGATTTTATAGCAAATTGTCGTCAAAGAGATGTCAAAATTTTATAACCAACTCAAATTTCTGATAAACATTCCGAAGAAACTTGCATAAAACAGACGCGCCCTCTAAATTCTAATCATTAATAAAAAAACAATAATTTTTTTCAGATATTAAGGTAGTATTTTTAAACATTTTAAAACTATTTTTGTCCTTCTATTTGCCAGTATTGGCCATTTATACCTTTAATATTCAAGTTATTCTTAAAAGAAACATAATAAAGCACTTTTTTTAATTTCATTAAATATTATTACTGAACCTGCACATTTGGACGATTTAACAATATGGCGTATTTGACTGCCACTAATAATATTACTTTTAAGTAGGAGTAACTGAAAAGTAATTTATTAGAGTAATTATTTTAGTTTTCAATCCTAAAAAAGGTACTACAAAGTTTCACAACTCTATCGTTTTCAAAACGGTAAAACATACGTGTAGTTTTTACTAAAATTGTGGTTATAAATCTACTCAGACAAAGTTCCTTTTACTTTTAACTGGTTGTTTTGACTCCTGGTGCTGCTTGGGATAGCTAAGTTAGCGTCTCGGGGGTTGGGGCTGCGAGGTCGAAAAAACGTTCAGTTGGATTATTGAGTGTCCATCGTAGTGACATATAGCTGACCCGACAATGTTTAACAAAATACTAAGTTGTACATTAACATTGGTGCTGACATTGAAGTTAAAATTATAAGATTCTTATATTTAAAAATCAGAAAAATTATTTCGATACAATACAATGCTCCATATTAACATTATTGAATGACTTCCAAACCATATGTGTCACTAAAAGATGGTGTAAAATCGATCTCATTGATCAAGTTTAAAACATCTTTTAGCACCCTGTTTGACGTGGTTAAATTTATATGTGGGTTATTTAAGGACCAATTGTGGTCCATTCAGAGAGATTTCGAAGGTTAGTGAACTGGATTAAGAACAAATGATTTTAAATTTGACCACGTCGCTGGTATAATATGGTTAATTTTTGCTTCTCGAGGGTTGTTATCAAAGCAAGGGAATCTTGATAGAATTTATATTTCGTTGTTAATTTGTAATTTACAATGACTCCGATATTTTGGTAAAGAAGAGTTTAGTGATTGTGTTAGTTTATTGCAGTTAATTTTGGTGTGTGTGACGATATATTATTAATTCTTCGTTAATTTCAGTTATGGTCACGGCTGTTGATGAATGACAGTTCATAGGGCAATCATTGCCAATGTCTTCTATGGTTGAACCCTCATATAATTGCTTTGCGCATGCTGGTCTTAGGAACATGTCTTTTGCAAAACGGGGAAGAAAACACAATTTATGATGTAGAGCGAAGCCCGATATTTGTCTAGCATTTCTTAAGACTTCCGAGGTAGGTGTATTTGAGACTGCTAAATAGAGTACTCGAGTACTCCATGCTAAATCCTGCAGGTTTCGTTCTGCCATGCGAAGGTATGAGTTCGAAGAGGATCCACTTTATGTTTATTTGTGTTACTGGCACTCGTACACTTATCACTATTTGTGTATCTAAAACAGAACAATCACATATTGGAAGTTGATAGTTGATACCTGTAAATGTCTAAGACAGGGATAGCCAGTCCTTGTCCTAACTAGGTAATCTCTTCAGGACGTGTTGAAGCGTTGTTGGTTCCAAAAGTGAGACTGGAATTTGGTGATTGCAGGAGTTAATGATCGCTTGATTTTTGAACGTTCGTAAAAGTAATATGATTCTCTTCGTGTTTTGGTATTGGCCCCCAAAAACATTCCCTCTAAATTTACGGTTTCATTTGCAATATTCTGGAAGTATTCTTGCTTGGTTTTCATATTCTTCAAAGAATAAAGTACAAAATCAACCTGCAGGATAATGGTATTGATTACTTGGAAAAACAAAAACCAAAATTTTCTTTTTTTATTAGGAATTATTTTCTAAATTTCACATATTACAATTTCTATGTCGCAATCTGCAAAAATAAAGTATTTGAACTTTTTCCAGCTTAACCGATTTTTGGCATAGCCAGCTTTTTTACCTTATTTTTAATTATATGCTCCTTCATAGTGTAAAGAACTGAAAATAAAGCACCGTATTTTGGCTTATCTCGAGACAGACTTTAGTAACTAAGTAAAATAAATGAACTGATTATTTACTTTTAAAAACTCAAGCCACCAGTACTTTGATTTTGACCTCGTAACTGGTCAATTTTTTCGAATTTTTCGCGAAATTTAGTAGCGATTCCTTTCTTCATTCTAAAATTTTCAGCAACGCAATGGGCTAGAGAGTAATTTTCTGGCATATCGAACAAATCTTTTTTTTCTTCCTTCACTTTGAACTTGTTTTGAATTCTTTGTTTAAAATATTTTTCGAAAGTCTCTCTAGTTCCTCTCAGCACTTGCCTCGTCGTCGTCTTCATTTTCTTGATTGTAACTCAACGTGGGCGGCCATGGGTCGTTAAATAGTAAAATTCTGTTGACGTGAATAATTTCTTTCGGTGATCTTGCGATAGGTCCTTTTTGAGTCTTATAATCCACGCCGCTCACTTTTTTTTGTAATTTAAAACCACCTCAGTAGTAATTTTTCATTTTCCTAATGGGGATGAAAACTTTTACTTTGTCTCCCACTTCAAACTCCAAATGCCTGTGTTTTGAGTCGTATCTCACCTTGTCCACGTTTTGTTTATTCTTAATATTTTCCACTGCCATGTTTCTAACAGCCAGAGCTTTTTCTCTAATTTTCAAAATATCTGTCGATTCTACGTCCCCTTTTAAGTTTGCCTCACTAGGTAAAATTGGTTCTCGTCTGTAAACGAGCATAAATGATGACTATTGATGACATTTTAGTAGTGTAACATAAGGTACAAATTCATCCCAGTCTGTTTGATTTGTATTGGTAAACATTGATAACATGTCTGCTAAAGTTTTATTAAATCTTTCCGTGAGTCCGTTGCAGCTTGGATGGTATGCTGTAAAATTATCGTGCCGAACCCATTATTCTTAAAAGTTCTCCTACTAGCTCTGATCTGAAATTAGTACCTCTATCACTTACAAAGTATTTCGGAGAACCATGCCTTGTAATAATATTTTCAAGCATGAACTTCGCGACTGGGTCTGCGTTTTGTTTCCGCCCAACAGATGGCATAATCCGTAGCCACATTTATGACCGTTTTTCCATTTCGACTTTTTCAACTTTTTCAAAAGGAGTGCCTATTGGTATTGGTGGTAGAAGTCCTACGGGTTTTTTGTTTTGTTCTCCTTCTCTCCTTTGACAATCCGAAAATACTTTCACAAATTTCTCCATCCCAATGGTACCGGTCTTTAAGTTTATGGATATGTCTTTGCAATACCTAGGTGTCCGGCTAAAGGTTCCAAATGATTTGAGAATAAAATTTCATACACTAAATGTTTCGGGATTACCAGCAAATTTTCCGATCCTGTAGTTAACGGATTTTTTGTAAATTTCCCTGTCTATTACTTAAAAATTTTGCGCTCTTCTTCGCGAACCAGTTGGGATAGATACGTCGTTTTTATTAATGATTGCTTGTACTAAAATTTTCAGATTATGATCTTTTTATTGTTTCATTGCGGTTTCATCAGATTTTAATAAAAATATCGGTACGTCGAAAAGATCTTCGCTTTCAACTGGATTTCTTGACAAACAGTGAAACAGTCAACATCTTTATGCGCCTTCCCGTTTTTAAAGATGATTTCATAATAAAATTCTTGTAAATTTAATAGCCCACCGAGTTAATCTGCCTGTAGTCTGATTCGTATTTATTACATAACACAACGCATGATAGTCTGATTTAATTGCGACTGGACGTCCGTGGATAAAATGCTAAAAATGTGTTAAACCGTGTGTGACAGCAAGTGTTTCTAATTCAGTAATTAAATATTTTTTTTTCTGATTTGGACAGAGTACGACTAGTGTAAGCGATAGGATGTAATTGACCATCACACTGTTGTAGAAGAATAACTCCAAGACCGTCTTTGCAGGCATCTGTTCGTAACTCGCATCCAATTTTTGGATTAAAATGTGCGAGTACAGGGGCTGTTGTTAAATTATGTTTAAGTTGTTTAAATGCGGCCTCCTGATCATGTCCCCAATTAAATTTAAAATCTTGTTTAATTAGTTTATAAAGTGGTTGGGCAATTTTAGAAAAATTTTCTATAAATTTTCAATAGTAGTTTGCTAGACCTAAAAAACTCTGTACTTGTCTTTTTGATTTTGGTTTTGGAAAATCTCTAATAGCTCTTAGTTTTTCTGTATCGGGATAAATATGATGTTTGTTGACAATATGACCAAGAACTTTGACCTCTTGAGCACCGAAAATGCATTTTTCTGTTTTTAATGTTAAATTTGCTTTTCTTAGTCTATTAAAAACTTCACGCAGTTTAGTTAAATGTTCCTCGAACGTTTCAGAAAAGACATCATCTAAGTATACTAAAACGTTAGACCATTTTAACTTTCTAAAAACCCTATCTGTGAGATCTTGGAATGTCGATGGTGCATTGCAAAATCCAAACGGTAATTTATTAAATTCGAAAAGTCCAAAACCGGAAGTGATAAAAGCTGTGTATTCTTTAGAGTTTTCTTCGATGCCAACTTGCCAAAAACCACTAAATATGTCAAGAGTACTATAAAATTTGGAACTGCCAAAGTAAGTAAGAATTTTGTGATGTTACTCAATGAGTAATTTGACTTTTTAGTAATTTTATTAAGTTTTCTATAGTCAACAAAGAATCTCATTTTTTCGTTTTCTCCTTTTTTCCTTACTAAAACTATGGGAGAAGAATAGGGTGAATGTGATTTTCTAATAATTCCTTCATTTAACATTCCTTCAATTTGTTGAAGGTAAAAAGAATTTTTTTGATCCGGTAAATGCTGTTGAACTTTAATAATAGTAAGTATTCGAAATATCGTTTTGAATTTCATGCACAGTGTCTTGAAGACACTAAAGCAACAAAACTAACAATCAAACAAAACGAAATACTTACATTATCAGTCCTCAGGGGCAAGGCACTACACTTTTTTCCAACTTATCTTTACGACCCCGGTTCACCGACTGACTCTCTTTTCTTTTTCCGTCCCATCGTCAATTTTTGAACCTTCAGCAAAAATCCCTTCAGTTATTATATTAATAATGTATTACATCATTATATGATTGACTTTTTGCTGAACGCTCATCCGACGAATGATTGTTTAAAATTTGAATATGGAAAAAACTAAGTCGGTGAACTAAAATTTACTAATGTGATACATTTATACATAAATAAAATAATAATGACCAAAAATTAAAAAAACATTTCGTAATTTAATTAATTTAAATTATAAAAATAGAATACATACTTATTAGAACTAAATTACAGACGTGACAAGAAATAAGTTTCATAACGTATAAAATATTTGTATTTATACAGGTGTTCCGTTTTTATTGTTACAAACTTAAACAGGTGATAGAATATTCAATTTTAAGACATAAGTTTCCTATGAACATGTATCAAAAAATGGTACGTAAGCGAGCTACACTCCTCTGAAAGAGATGCGTTTTTAATGGGGTTTTCCCACTATTGCAGAATAGATAAAATTACAAAAGTTAGTACAGCTGACTACTTTTAAACACCTGAACGAATTTAAAGATCAGTCGAAATTTTTAATCACGGGTGTCTTAAACAGTGGAACTAATTTAATTTTTAATTTTTATCCTCTTTATGGTTTGTAAGACAAATTGTAAACTAATTTTACTCAACAACGGTAAGTTGTATCGAAAAAAAGCAAGAGACCTTTTTTTTGTGAATAACTATGGAATTTAGAATTTTGTGGCTGAAAGTGGCAAGAACCAATGGTCAAATAGTTAGGGTACTTTTATCTTGAACCCCCCCAGTTTAGGACGCCCCTGAGTAAAAATTTTGACATTTTACCTTTGAATTCGTTTGGGTGTATAAAGGTTATCAGTTGGTGGCTGAAATATTGAAAAAAATTCATTAAAAGATGTACCCGTTTCAGAGGATGTAGCTCCCTTATTTAATTTTTTCGACACATGTTTATAGGAAACTTTTATCTTAAAATTGAATATTCAATCACCTATTTAAATTTGTAACAATAAAAACGAAACACCTTGTATATTACATCTAAAACGTACTTAACGACTGTCTAGTATTCTTAGCAATATGTTCCTAAGACATAAATTAAAATGAATAAAAACTGAGTGGTTGATAGTTACATATCAAATGTTAGTAAGTTACAACTTACAACGCCATAGGCAGATACAATTTAGGATGTGGATTATATCCAACAAGCTCAAAATCTTCAAAAGTAAAATCATCAATACTGTTTACTTGTCTTTTTATATTTAATGTTGGAAAAGATCTCGGTGCTCTTGTCAACTGCTCCTTAATGGGTTCAACATGATTTAAATAAACATGGCTATCCCCAATACTATGAATAAACTCTCCTGGCTGCAAGAGATTAAAATATATTTAAAGAAATGAAGCATATTTAAGTACCTTTAATGCTGTAACATGTGCAATCATTCGAGTAAGCAGAGCATAACTGGCAATATTAAACGGTACCCCCAAACCCATGTCCCCAGCCCTCTGATACAACAAGCAACTTAGTTCACCATCAGCTACAAAAAACTGTGCAAGACAGTGACAAGGGGGCAGTGCCATTTTGTGCAGGTCTATCGGATTCCACGCCGACATAATTATTCTTCTATCGTTTGGATTTGTTTTGATCGTATGAATAACTTTAGCAAGTTGATCAATTCCTTCGTTCGTGTAATCATCTCTCATGCCTCTATAATCAGCGCCAAAGTGTCGCCACTGAAACCCGTAAATCGGTCCCAAATCGCCCTCCTCGTAATCCTCTAAACCGACCGAATCCAAAAACTCCCTACTGCTATTCGCGTTCCAAATGTGTACATTTTTTTCCTTGAGATCATTGGAATTCGTTGACCCTTTAATGAACCAAAGCAATTCTTCGACGACTGCTCTCCAAAAAACCCTTTTCGTTGTTAATAAAGGAAAGACATTATCACGAAGAGAATAACGCATCTGGACACCGAAAATTGATAAAGTTCCAATACGTGTTCTATCGATCCTTTTTACTCCTTTCTCTAAAATTTGTAGAATGTGATTGAGGTATTGGTATTCCTCATGGTTACGATTTTGAGGAAAATCGTAAACAGAATTTGAAAAACCATTCAAAGGTTTGCAGCAAGTGTGATTCGTTTCGATTCTGAAACATTTCAGTACTTTCAATTTACTAAATATTATGTTGTACTTACTTTAACATTCTGACGAACGCACAAAACGAGTTCCGGTTTAAAATTTGTTTAAATAGATGAACTGGAGAGGGATCTAAATAGCAGCAAGGATAAAAGGTCGTGAAATAAGATTTTTTTCTCAAGAGTAATCTCTCAATGGATGTTCGAATGATCAACTTTATCTAAAGCCGGGTAAAAAAAGAGCACGTGCAAATGGGTGTTGTGATTATGCTTTTAATTAATCAAGTTGAGCGCAGTTATAAGTCAAAAGAAAATGCAATTTTTGCAAGAAAATGTCAAATTCCCGGTAAAAAAATTTCGATAATTTATTAAGTATTACATCAAGGTTAAAGAATAGAGATAAGCAATATTTATAATTACTATAGATATCCAAGTGCAAGACATAATAAATGGCAGACAAAACTTCCTAGGTTTGATATTCTTAACTCACTAGCTAACAAAATTTTGATTACCTATTGTTTACAGAGATTTTCTTCTTATTAATAAAATGTAATATAATCAACAGTATTATGTAATAAATACGAAGTAGATATTTTTATTGAAATGACAAAAAAATCAGCTTTCCTACGTTTTTTTTAATATTATTAATTTTTTGTTCAAGTGTATAACAATATTGTCAGAGGCAGACTGGGCCCTCGTGTTTTACGGGCTCCCAATTATGGTAGTCTTATTTCATATTAAATATTTCTATGGATATATTTATTAATTTATTATTATTTATATCAAGAGCCCAGATTAATTTAACATTTGTTAATAAACTTTCCACAATGGACGAGAAGGTTGTAATTTTTAGTTCAGTTTGTTTGTTTATACGGTCCTAAGCGTATGTAAGAAAAATCCGAGCGGTTTTATATACAAGGTGTTTCAAAATAACTTTTTGATTCACAGGCTTGTTAATGCAAAGTTTGAAAAAGAGCTCATAATTATTAAAAATGCATCGAAGTGTTCAGAAAGTTAAGTATAGAAAAATGGTCAGTAATTCCACGACTTTTACAAAGAAACCAGAGAACTTTACCTTATACTCCCTCAATCACAAGAGGTGAGTAAAATTTTAAAAAATCTTGACTTCCAAGTTGTTTACAACTCTGGCAGAAGTCTCAAAAGTTTTCTTGGTAATACTAAAGATAAAATGGGACCTTTAGAAAAGTCGGGGATTTATGAAATTAATTGTAAAGATTGTAAGCAAAAATATATTTGGCAAACACGCCGATCAGTTAACAATAGGTTTAAAGAACGCATAGCTCATTTAATAAATTGTTCAAATCGTTTATAAGAAAATTTAAGTATCCTTCAGCATTCAACCGGTTTGGCAAAATATGAGGACCAATTAGGTTTTTGTTAACAATTCCAGCCCAAACATTAACAGAAAATTGTTGTTGGTGGTGCGTCTCCCGAATGGAAAGTGGATTCTCATCAGCCCAAACATGACTAATTCTGGAGTTAAACACTCCATCTCGAGTAAAAGTTGCTTCATCTGTAAACAAGACAGTTTTTAAAAAGTCATTATTTTGGACAATCTTGTTTAGAAGCCATTGAGAATAAACCATGCGTTGTGGCTCCATAGGTTGAAGAGCTTGCTTAATTTTTGATTTTTTTTGATTTTTGAAAACAGCTCGATATTTTTTTACCTGCTCTATCGAATGGCGTTGGTTCCATTTTTATATCTCAATTATTAATAGGTATTATTAGCAATAATGTATAATTGTTTATTAATTATTAATTAAAGCAAATATTATTGTAATGTTACGGGAATTAACGTGTATATGAGGAGCAGTTTTTCAAAATGCAGTTTGTCCATGTTTTTATGAATTGAGATAAAGGTTTTTAAAGTTTTTTTTGTAAAATGCCTAAGTACTCCAGCCGTTAAATTAGTGTCCAATTGGTACAAATTTTTTCACATTTATTGTCACTGATATAAAACATTAAAATTATTTCTTAAAAGGACAGTTTTTGGTCTCTCCTGTTAAAATGCAAATTTGGACAAACTGCTTTTTGAAAGCCTGCTCCTCATATGCAAAATTTCAATTACAATTAGGAGCCAAGATATTGAAAATTGTTTATAACAAATGTTAATTGTTTATAAAATTTCAGTTTGTCATCATGAGTCATGATCCTTGCTTTACAAATTGATGTCACTCAGGTAACATTGACGACCAATGTATTTTGTTCCCAATAGTACATGAGCATATGTAAAAATTACATATGAGATTCTGAATATAATCCAGAACTTTTGCTAAGATTTGTAATGCGCAGAATATAATTCATTCCAATCTTATCTTGTCATACACAATTAATATTCAATTTTAAAATTTTTACGATTAATGTGTATAATTAAATTTAACTTTAGGTCAAGCCACACTATCGCCTATGGTTTATGATAACCAATAAAATAAAAAATTACAAATCGAAACCGAAGTACAAAGCCAATTTTAAACAAAAATTTTCCTATACATAATTCAAACATTCACGGAAAATCTTCAAGCAATACCGTGGAGGGAGAAATAACTGGAGGAAGCATAAGCACTGAAGTTAGAGACTGAAGCACAGATTAAGTGACTGAAGACTGAAAATCAGTGCTGAAACGGTGCTCCCTGCGGTCTGCGCAAGCACCTTAGAGTTCTGATTCTTTTCAAAACCTTTTTCCCTCACTACAAATTTGGATGCAATGGTGTAGTCAATTTTTTTACATTCAATTAACTAAATACACCGCCTTCGAACATTAACACTAATACGTAAAACAAGACAGATTATTAAAAAAAACTGTGTAAAACAAACTTAATAAAGACAAAAATCAAAAAACGTGGAAAACACGGAAACAATGAGACGATGGTATCAGCTGATTCGAAAAACAACTTTGGATTTGCGCACTAATTACACATTTAAGAGGGAAATTCAGAACAAATTATAAAAGGTGTTTTTAGCTCGACCAAGAATGCGAGTTAATTATTTCTCCCTTTACGAGCAAGTCATAAACCGAAATTTACAGGAGTTTATACTTTTCCTTAATTTAAGTTAAATTTTGTAGTGTTGATTTTCTTTTCAGCAAATAAGGGTACTTAATTGAATGTTCCTACACCTTCTACTAGTTACAATAGAAATGTCTTACGTTTTAAATATTCTTTATTTTAAAATACATTATAATATCGCATTCATTCAAGCGTACAAAAATATATTATTAACACATTTACACCATTTTTATTTAAATACAATTTACAGTATGAGTTGCACTAACAGCACTATATAAACATTGCGAATTGAAACTGTGGGATTTTAAAAAATTAAAATAATATAGGTATTTTGAATGCAAACTGATTTTGTGATAATTACTTCGTTGTTACGTTTTTATGTACAAATATAGAAAATGTATCACTTTATTGCTACTATATTAGTTATTTGTTGTCATGTGAAATATAAAATAAATTAAGTACTTTGTTATGATCCCACAGTAAAAATTCATTACAAACAATTTTGTATACTATATTCATCGTAAGTGGATAAAAATAGAATTGTGTTTTAAAAAAATTACAATTCCTTACCAGACCAATAGTCTGTTGGCTACAAAATTTAAACTAGCAGCCTCTCACATCAGACTTTTCGGTAAAATAATAAAATTATTAAATAATATCGGATGGACATAAAACATACATTTCATTGTCAAAAATAATAAAGCATACAATTTTATAAACAAAAAACTAAAAAACTAAATCAACTAAAATGCCCTGAGACATAACATAAATAAACATTATTATATTAGGAAAATACTTAAATTACTGTAAATATTTAATAAGTGAGGTAGATTTAAAAGTTTAATAACTATTTGAACAACTTGACTCTTATACTCAAATCAAAAATTAAATATATCCTCTGCTATAAAACGTCTACATTAGTCATTTAAATCCAATTGCTTTTTAAATTTAATTTGCACAATTTGGAATGTAAACCACGGTAACCTAAACGGGTACTTTGTATTGTTTGAAGGAATGTTTGTGGTTGCGCTTTAAAACAATTCGGAAAGGTAAAGATAATGGTGGAGAGCACTGAAAAGAAAAAAAAAAGAAAAAAAGTAGTATGTAGGTAACTCTAAAACAAATCTTAACGCCTATCTGTACATAACTAAGTGATCATTATTTTTGTACAATATAAAGGCACACACCACATTGAATAGTGACTGAATATAAGAGGATAATATCTTCTAAACAATTTTGTACATCATTTAAACAATGGAATATTTATCTTTGGGTATATAAATAATAAATATGCTTTGTTGGTAACGTTAATGAAGAACAGTTAACATTGTAGCCATATAACATAGAAAACACTGTAACAACCAGACCAAACAATCGCTCATTTCAATCATCCACAATATATACTGTACAGTAACATTTTACTTATGTCTAAGCTATCATATATATATGTAATTGTTTTCAGGTACGAATTGTATTATGCTAATAAAATAATATTTTCATAACCACACCAACTAAACTTGAATTTTCAACTGCAATATCTTCGAAAAACGATACGAAGTCAACGCTTTATTGTAGCTGAACAAACAAGCCTAATCGAAACTGAAAAGCAAATTGGTGTAGGCCAAAGAAATTACAGTTTAACATTGAGCAATTGAGTTTTAGGTGAAGAAAAATCGTTGCAAATTCTATTGCAGAAATTAAAAAAACTAAGTCTGAAAGTCGAGATATTTTTCACCATCTCTCAAATTAGTTTTATTTGGTAGGAAATTACCTCGAATTTAAATAAATTAACTTAAAACAAGTTCTATATCGGCAATTACTGCTCAGTCATAATCATTTTATTGAAAGTCAGGGAAATTGGTCATGAATTTTTACTATTTTTTTTGGACTAAGTCACCGGTCATTAACCGTTAGGTCTAACATCTTTAAAGCTAGAGTTATTTTTAGAATCGCTCAATTTTGATCGTTTTAAATGAAGATTACACTGACGGTTGGATTTTATTTCAGGGTCTTTTGAATTTTCGAAAATACGATGAAGGTCCTGAAATTTTGATGTTTTCAGATTCGAATTGGAATCCTCTTCGTACGGGGTGCAACACATTTCTTGAGCTTTTGATTTATTCTCGGAAAGACCGTTGCATTTTAGCATGTAGTACTGAAAATAAAAGTATTTACTTAACTGATATGAATAATAAGAATATGTGGCGTGATATAAATGAAGTGACAATTACTACTGAATAATTAAATAATAAAGAAACAGAACATGTCTTACTCGTGGATTTTCAGTGATGTGAACAATGCCGTTTGGAACATGACCATTAGTGTATGGCTTGGCAGATCCATTTAAGTGACCATTGGGAAATCCATCCGTGCCCTGATGTAAAATAAAAACGTGAAAAAAAAATGAAATAAATCAACTAATAGCGATCCGTTTTGTTATTTAAGAATTCAATAAAAATTACACAAATTATTTTAAAAATTAAATTATACTCCTATGTATTTAGAATACATTCCAATTTATTAATTGCATTTCTGAAACACGGAAGCTGAGATACAAACATATGTTATTCTTGGGGCAGAATTAATCCAGTTACTCCGAGAGCAAGCTACCCAAATTCAACATGGCCGTTCAGACTCGAAGGCACATGATTTTTGAAAACTGTATCTTATGTAAAATTTTCTGCTGAAATCAAAACCAGAAATCGTTTTCTGCTTTGGAATTGCCTTCATTATGTGAAAAAGAAACGCTTTTGTGAGAAATTTAGAAGACCTAAAATTGATCAAATTTTGTGTACACCTGTGTATGTTCCCACTGGATATAGCTAAAAAGTAAAAAGTTCATTTTTCTAAATTTGATAAGACTTAAAAAGCAGAGAAAAGTTATTCTAAGTCCAAAATCAAAAGAAAAATGAACTTTTCTTTCTACTGAGTTAGAATAATCAAGTTTTAATTACAGATTTGCTGGTTTCAAGTAAAGCAGAAACTTTTTTTCCTTTGCAATTTTTGCGTAAAATCAAAGATAAATAGTACATTACAAGCGAGGTGGTAAATATGGCATTACCCCGAGTGCTTATGTATACGATCGAGAGGCGCTAGCCTCGAGATCGGATAAAGCACAAGGGGTAATGCCATTACCACCGAGGTTTGTATGGTATTTAGTCACAATCACATTATTTTCAGTCAAAAATTTGAGTAAAATAAAATTCTAACAAACGTGGTAGGCCATCTAAATGACGTTTAATTTTTGACATTTCAGAATTGTCAAAGAAAATATTGAAATAATGTGTAAATGTGATTTAAAGTCGTCGAAATGGAGCAATGAATTAAGAGAATTAAGAGAAACTGCTACAAAAGCAATTGAATACTAATTTAGCGAAATATTATGCGGAACTTGACAATTTAAAAGAAAAAATTTCAGGTATTTTCGTAATTTTAACGTTGGCAATCCTGCATATTACCACCCAAGAGGAGTAACATTTATTACTCTTCATGAGAAATAATGACATGTTTCCCAACCTTAAAAAGGTTAGTAATCGGCATATTACATTAGTGATTGTGAATAAAAAAAATTTCCTCTTGTAAACTCAATCCGGGGACATCCTGTATTTTATACTAAATTTTGACCAAGATATGGTAAATGTCAAAAACAATGTTTTTGTATTGTTACTAAAATAACAGTAACAACAAGTCATCTAGTACTAATTTTATTATAATTACTGAATCATTGTACAGGGCAGTGGCGGCCCGTGGGTCTGCAAACCGGGGAGGCAATCATAATACGAGGGAACTCTACTTAGCCAAAAAAATATACATTCATAATGATTAGAAAAATTATGTATGAACATAAAAAAAAACAAAAAAAAAATAGTTTTGTGTTTACAAAAAACAAGTATTACAAATACGTATCTATAATTTTGACTAAGAGTTTCATTTTTATTATCTTACTCAAAATAACTCGTCAGCTGTGCGACCTACACTAACGTCATAAAAGCCAAGAAATCTTTCAATTACTTTACCTTTCACAATATATCGAAAAATTACAGATAATTGGGAGCAACAATTTAAATCGGTGGTCTCATAAATTTGCCACGAAAAAAATGGAGTATTCAAAATTTCTTTGTCTATTTCTCTTTCTAAAATTGCTGTGATTGACTCTAATATGTCATTTTGGATTGTTTTTGAAATGCCGGGAAATACTGATTTGTTGTCAAGAAATAATTTCAAATTAGAATCATATTTAGTTAAAAAAGAAATTAGTTCCTTAAAGTTTCCTTTATCTAATGAAGATTCGCTTTCGTCGTGTCCTCTGAGAGCTAGATTTTGGGAATCCAAAAACATTATACAATCAATTAATCTTTTAATTATATGTATCCCGATTCTGCTTGACTTCCGCATTGTAAGACTCTATTTGTTCATTTCTCGCATTATCTATTGCTATTTCTACATTCAATTTGCCAAGTAATCGAAATTTACATGTGCAAAGCTTTTATTGGTCGTTTTACAAAAATTTTTACTTCTTTGACAAAAACTCTTATTTATCACACAAACACTGAGATTCCTAAAAATTAAATCTTTACGACTATACAAGAAAAAAGTTAAAATAGTTCAAATCTGAAGGCTAAAATATTTTTGTAGCGGATTCTAATTATTAAGGTAAAAAATAAGATTCACGAGACGATTATTTTTGAATTATTTTTTGCCGCAACCCATTATACATATTGCAACAATTTCTTGATTTCAAATTTTGAAAATAATTATAACTGAATCCACGGCATTGACATCTTACTATGGACTGCGCTTTGCCAATACTTACGCGTATAGAAGCTGTTGTCAACATGGTTATGCAACCACCAATTCACAATAGTGGCAGAATGCATTGAAACTTGTATGAAATACAATGGGAAAATTAGTTTTAATAGAATATTTACAATATTTCAATTTGTTTACATCAAGTACAATCATGAATCACTGCGATTGTAAGGTAGTATTATAATTAATTCATTATATAAACAAGAATACCGTTTGATAATGATATTATAATAAACTGCGTGCAACAAAAGCTTTTTGTAAGCCCATTCAAATTAGGCAGTGGTAGGATTATTATTAAATCCTCCTCTGGATCGTATCGCGAAAAAAAAAGTTCGATGTGGTCCTGACTTTGAATTTGTAGATAAAAATGTACTTAGTTTGAATATTTGTTGTTTTTAACATCATTAAATAAATTCCCAACACCACACATAGAGATTAGCAAACCAAAAAAACCCATTTTACTCTCATTAGACCCATTAGTTGCCACCATTGAGTTTAATGTGTTGCCTACCATGTTGACAACAAAATTTTTAGCTCAATCGCAGTCCATTAGTAGAATGTCAATGATCCACGGTATCTGTTATTAGTGTTGTCTCTTGGACATTAAAGCAAAAAAATCATCTCTTAAATGATGCTACATGTTTTGTTATCGACTTATCGTTTACCAACCGACTAGGCGCATGTTTAGAAGTCGATGGTAGACACTTCAAACACCTTTTCCATTAACTTAATTTGTTAATTTTTTTGTTGAATTTTGATTATCTGTAAATCTGACATTTCTGGCAAATCTATCCGACTTACTTCGATTTCTAATTTAAAAGAAATAAGATATTTTTTGTACAGTTGGAGACAAAATACTTTGGTCGTCAATGTCACTTGAGTGACATTAAATTGTAAAGCGTGCTTGCAAGTTGTACACATTTTTGATAGAAAGATATAATCCATTTCATTTAAATTGGCATAACAGTAGGCCATGATTGTGTAAACTGCGCTTTAAATGTGAAAAAGGCTTTACATATTAAGGAACTAAATTTGTCACTAAAAAAAGTGAGGTTAAGATAGTTAAAATTTTATTTTTCAAGAACCCTCTTTCAAAGGTATTCAGAGAGAGTTTTTTTCCATAAAAAGTTTCATCCCTTTGTAGGTGTAGTTTTGACACCAAAACATACACTATTTGCTTAGTAGAAAATACAGACTTTCGTTGATAATAAGTGGCTTCCAGGAATTTTAAAAGACGTTTTATTCACACCGGAGATGAAACACAATTTATTTTCCGTGAAAGTTGCAGCAAAAAGGGGTTTCGATTTTGTCATTAAAAATGTAAGACAAAATTGTGAATTTTTAAACAATGGTAAAGTTGTTGCGATCGGAGTGGAAAAAGGAAATCTGTACAAAATGAAGCTTCGCGTACTGAAGCCTGAAAGATCGTGTTTTGCCGTGGATAAAATAATTTGGCTTAATTCAAATTGGTATATTTGATTCCATTAACAACAAAAGAAGGAACAAAAAGAAATTGATTATGTTTTCAAACATACCTTAGCGTGTACTTTAAATCTGGGGTTCTGAAGAGAACTACTTTTAATTATAATTTGAAAAAATAGTAGGAATAACGAACAACCAACGAAAACAGTGAAAAAACGAATACAAATGTCAGTCATGTCAGTTAAATAAACCATGTAGGTAAGTAATCAAAGAAAAACAAAAACCCCATCAGTTGTTATATCAGGGATATGCACAGGGCTACAAACTTAAATACGAAATTCCATAGCCACCTATTATGCCAGTTTCAATGAAATACAGGGTGATTCTTAAATAGACCGACAAAATTTTATCACAGCTTTCTAAGCATAAATGGAGACAAACTGTACCCTTTTTACGTTTATACCTTTTAGGGGCAAAACCCCCTTGATCCGTGCCACTTACGGCGTTTATGAATTGTTGCAATGATCAAGTACATTTTCATCACGTTAATACCATGGTTTCCACTACCTGTGCTAACACATCAGTGGCGTACGCTTTACTTCGAAAATAATTTTAATAAATTTTATTTGGAGAACGTTTAAACAAAGAATTTTTTAAATATTTTTTCCAGCATGTTCTCATACTTGATACTACTAAGGATAAAATTTTGTCGGTCTATTTAAGAATCACCCTGTATACTTTATAATAGCTGTCATTAATTTGAAATTGTCATTCATTAAAGCTTGAATTACATTAAAGTGTCAGAAAAGTGACGACCAAAGTATTTTGTCTCCAACTGTAGCAGTTAGTATAATATTGGAATTGTTGGTTGCGGCAAAAAAATTCAGAAATAACTCTCTCATGAATAACCCTGTATTTTATTAAATGTCGAGCTAAGAATGTTAAGTTTAATACATTACACGCTACGAGAGCTCTTTCTGGTGCTCGGAGTTTTCCTCGGCTACTCTTACGCTTCGCCTCGACCATTCAAAAACACCTCGCATCTAAAAGTAAGCTTTCGTAGCTTGTAATGTAAATAACTATACATTTCACAGCACTTGGAACAGCAAAACGGCACACTATGAAACTCAAAACAAATGATACCTCACGCAGAAAACCGCTGAAAAACCCTCACTCACCTTGGTGTCCAAATGTGTCGGGGTATCCGGCGGAATATGATTTGACGCGTCGTCGCTGACCAAATGTTCGATCTCGTGGATCGTCGAACAGGGATTTTCCAATCTAACTTGCACTGAACTTCCCTCTGAAGCGTACTGTGCAACCGCCGGATAATAATTATTTGAAGCGGCCATCCGCGCCCTCGAAAAAGCTCGTGTTTTTAAGCAACGTTTTCGTACCAGAATCGTAAAACTAACGCACACCACAATAAACAGTAACGATATCGTCACACCCATTATAATACCTGAAAATTTGTTGTAAAAGAAAGATCTTTAAGGCTAAAGGGGAACATGTTTTAGTTTGTTGCTAAAGCGGCAGATGGCGCGGAATTTATATTTCTATTTTCTCTTTAACTATTCACATTTTTTATAATTGGAAAAAAGTTTCGGACATAAAATATTATTTGAAAACTCCAACGTAACACTTTTTTAATTTTTGTTTTTTTTTGAGAAAAATATTAAAAACAGGTATAATAGAAAATATTTTTGAAAAAACAAGGTAGAGTGACGAATTACCATTTTTTACTGAAAAGAAAAGTGTTTTTATTTTTGAAATTCGATAACGGGAAAGTCATCAAAACGCGAATTTTGTATCGTCTTTTTGATGTTCCGCCGCGCCGCATTTTTTGCCCTACCCTTGTTACAGTTGTGAAGGAGGTAATGTTCGGAAGCAACCACTACCCAAGAATACGGTATTTTTAAATAAGGCAAACTCTTATACTAAATTTCCTGAGGTCAGTTTACATAATTTAATTACAAACAAATATTTGAATTCGCGATTAAGTTGACATGTGAAAATTAATTCATCGGAATCTTTTCCACATGATAAAATTGCTTGATTTTTTCTAATGGTCACTATGAAAATTGGATAATGTAAAAGTTGATAGATTTTGGGTAATTAACATTTTAATATTGAAAATCTGAAACTGGGAGTAATTTATGGGAGGGTTTGCTGTAATTGGTGATCAGGCCGGAATTTCTTGAGAAAATAAAAAGTTCCGCAATGACATTTATGACGTACCCACATAAATGTCATTGCGGAACTTTTTCTTTTCTCAAGAAATTCCGGCCTGATCACCAATTACAGCAAACCCTCCCATAAATTACTCCCAGTTTCAGATTTTCAATATTAAAATGTTAATTATTCAAAACCTATCAACTTTATCATTATTCTATTTTCACAAATACCACAGACAAAATTCAAAGAATTTTATCATGTAGAAAATATTTCAGTTTCCTTTTCCTTTCAGTGTTCCTTTTTTGCAAAAAGAAAACCATCGAAGAAGCCATAAGAGATAGACCTCATTTTTGTCTAGACAAAAACAATGAATTGAAAAAACAACACGATTATTATTACCAGGTCCAAACTCAATTACGGGTCACCAATAAAAAAAAATTGTGATTTTATTTTATGGGCAGAACAAAATATTTCTATTGATCACATTTTTCCGGATGCCAAGTTATGAGAAAAAAAATTAGCCAAGATAAAATATTTTTACCAATAGGCCTTAGTACCAGAAATACTAGATCCAAGGCTATGCAACTCAATGAAAATAAAGAAAACAGAAAAAGAATAAAAAAAGTTATGACATTTATTTATTACTTTCAGTTCCACTTTTGTATTTTTTTTATTTGAATGTAACTGAACTCTTCTCTGACAAATTTTTGTTGCGAGTAATATCTTTCACTTCCAGCTTTCACCTGGAAGCTCTTTCAAGTTTTTAGGTATCCCTCCACTCTAATAGAGCGCCCTTCTCGGGCGGCAAATTTTGACAAAGTGAAATGAATATTCGCGTTTCGTTAAAAACTAATAATAATTTTTTCAGTTTTTTGGTCGCATTCTATTCGTATCATCACAGTACATCTTTCCCCTAGGCGTGCGTTTTGAATAAAAAAAAGTTAAATATTTTTTTTTCAAAAAAGTGTTACGTTGGCGAAAATTCTAAATGTCTTTAAAATTGAAATCAATTTTTTGATTTAAAATTGGATCAAAAACTTCGCTAAACACAGCCAAGTAAATTTCAATATACTTGTCTTTGTCGCACACTTGGTTTAACTCTGTCGTCCCCTTTAGCCTTAAGCATATGATTAAAAACTGACCTAGAATTTGATTGTATTGGACGTCATCTTGTGTTTCGGGAGCTACAGCATTGGTGTTTCTGGTTGTGATTTTGATTGGGTATATTGGGTTGCCTAGGCCGACTTCTGACGCTGCTCTCACGTAAACTGTGTATTGCTTGGATGAGTCGAGGCCGACGAGGAGGGTAGAAAAAAGTTGGTCGTTATTTGGGACAAACCAACAACCCTACAATCTCAACGATTGCAAAAAAAAAGGGAAAAGTAAAAGTACCTTTGAATTCTCTAAAGTCGTCGGCACCGATTTATTGAACCATTCGTCCAAAGGCCAATTCGAATTAGGTGTGTAAAGAATCAAATAACTCGTCAATTTTCCATTTGTATGCAACGGTGCTTGCCAATGTAAGCAAACGGCGGTTTCATTCACAATCTCATAATTCAAATGTAAAACTTTTGAAGGCACTACAACTTGGGTATTACAACGTTGCAATTTCGGTCAGAATAAACTTACCATCAGCACGGGTGCGAATTGTAGCAGACTGTGAAAACGGACTGTAATAACCACGATAATTATGAGCTCGAACTTTAAAATCGTATGAAAAATTGGCTAGTAAATCTGTGATTAATAAATGATTTGATGCACTAAAAATAATAATAAAATAGATTTCTTTAGGGTAAAACAAAATTAAAATACCTTTTCATCAAATCATGTTCGTCACAATCTATCTGTTTATCAGTTTCAGTCGCACAAACTGAATAAAATCTCGTATTTTCATTGTTATCGATCCAAGTTAGGTTTACACTCGTTGCCGAAATTTTATCAGCTTCTAATCGTTCAGGAGCTAAAGGTATCAAATCGGTTGTGTTTGCGCTGATTTTACGACTAGTATCACCTTTAGGGGTAAAAGAAACCCAAGGAGAATCGTCATTTTTCTGCCACCCGGGAATAACTCGAAATTCGTATTCCATGGATTTTGAGAGTCCTGAAAATTAAATTAAATACGTTGAAAATGTTTGGTTTTGATATGTAGGGTGTTCGGTCCAAGTCGGCTGATAACACCTAAACTTACTTCTTTTTTTCAAAAAATAAATATTTAAGTAATAATATTCATTCTTGGCTTTCTTAATAAATGTATCAAATTTTTTTAGCACATCCAGTGTTGCCGGAAATGCTACCAAATTTAGTTTTTCAAATGGAACACTTATGTTTTTTTTTCCTCCAAACAATAATAATTGACATGAAAAATACTGTAAACCACTATTTACATATTACATTTTGCGTAACACAATGCAATCAAAAACATCTTAAATTTTAGAATTTTATAAGGAAATTGGTCGCGTAGTCTGATTTTAAATTTTAAAGGAAAGGTGTAAATAAAAAAAAATGTTTGGATACAGTTTAATTGTTGGTTTGACAAATCTAATTTGTCAATTTGATGAGCGAGTTCTCTTATGGAAATTCTTGGATTTTCTTCGACTGATAACAGAACATTCAGATTTCTATTTTTTGTTCTTCACAAAGAACCACAGGTTTTTTAGTTTTAAGATGTTAAGAAGCGAACCTATTCGTCTCATTTGTTTTTCAATTCGACTAAATTTCCAACGATTTGGGTAAACTCTATTTGAGTATTTTTCTCTACAGGGTGCGCCAGAACTCGTGCCCCAGAGAAAATGTTCAAGTAAGGTAAGCATGAAAAAAATCTTTAAAAAATTCTGTCAAAAAATTTTGACATTTATTTTTTGACATTTGACATTTTTTTTATATCTATTTAATGATACTGATGACCTTGTATACATTTTTTACAATTATTTAGTAAAGGGGCAAAAATTTTGCCAATAAAAACTACAAATAACATTGAACAGAGTTACAATTTAGGATACAGCTTCTTTGCTTCCTTTTTTAATAGCCTAGCAAAGAAACTTGGAAAATTATTTTTCCAACAGAAATAAATAGAGTCAAAGTGCAAACTTTAAACCCTCATAACTTCGAAATTTTTATAGATAAAATTTTTGTAACAATTTTTTCATGTTCCTGGTATCTTACCTTATATGGCATTTTTCTCTGGGGTGCGAGTTCTGGCGCATCCTGTATACTGTCTTTCAGCTTTCCGCTCTATTTTTATTGCACTTAAAAATATTTCAAGCTGATCTACCAATTCGTCGTAATTAATATCATCCATTATTAAAGATCTCAATAAGATTTATTGACAAATTAGGCTTTGTCAAACTAACAATTAAGCATATTGCTTTTTGCATGAATACCTTGAAAAATAAAATCCGCCTACGTTGCAAAATAAAATTGAAAAATTTAAATTGTTTTCTGAGTGCATTATGTAAATAAAATGTAATAAATAGTGGTTTACCGTATTTTTCATGCCAATTATTATTGTTTCGAGCAAAAAAACATAGGTGTTCCATTTGAAAAACTAAATGTGGTAGCATTTCCGGCTACACCGGACGTGCCAAAAAAAATTTGATGCATTTACTAAGAAAACGAGGAATGAATAGTATTATTTGAAAAACTAGTTTTTGAAAAAAAAAGTAAGTTTAGGTGTTATCGGCCGGGGCGACTTGGACCGAACACCCTGTATACAATATATCCAATGTCAATTCAAACCCTTTAGGAGTTGATAGTAGGCGTTATTTAGAATACATAAAGTAATTTTGCAATTTACAACAACATTTCAAACTGACATGTCGTGAAAATACAATTAAAATTTAAGTTCAGTGTCAGATTCAAAAACGAAAAAAGTCTCTTTTTCTTCCCCGTCTCGACACCCATGTTTTATCAAAACATTCCAAACAAAAAAGTTTAATAGTTATTTGTACAACTAGTTTTGAAAGTCAGTCAAACTCTGCCCGAGTTAATTATTAATCAAACAAATGAGTAAAAAAAGGACTTTCAAAACGAGTTGTACACAAAATTTTTTTGCATAGTAATAACCCCAAGAACCCTAAAGACCAAAAAGATATCAATTTGATAAATCAAATCGTAAGTATCGAGAGCACTTTCTAACGAACTCTATAGAAACTATACAGGGTGCGCCAGAACTTGTGCCCCAGAGAAAAATGCCATATAAGATACCAGGAACATGGAAAAAATGTTAAAAAAAAATATCTATTAAAATTTCGAAGTTATGAGGGTTTAAAGTTTGCACTTTGACTCTATTTATTTCTGTTAGAAAAATAATTTTTCGAGTTTTTTTGCTATAAGCTATTAAAAGAGGAAACAAGGAAGCTGTATCCTAAATTGTATCTCTGTTCAATGTTATTTGTGGCATTTATTGGCGAAATTTTTGTCCCTTTACTAAATAATTGTAAAAAAACATATACAAGATCATCAGTATCCTTAAATAGATATAAAAAAATGTCAAATGTCAAAATTTTTTGTAATATAAGTAGGTACTCGTACATAAAATGAAGAATAATGAACAAATTATTAAATTGTTAAGGCATGAAAAAAATTTTCAAAAATGATATTCCTAACAATCCTTACAAAATTTTAGAGAAAAAAGTACGCCCATGTATTTTTTTATCTTAATCAAGTGGGCGCACTCCAAGTGTCTTTTCTGTCACTGTCAGTTCGCCACCAGATATGGAATAAGCTCTATAACTTTCTATACGATTAATCGTGATGAAAATTCAACTCTCATAGGGAAAGAACAGTAAATACACATTATTAGATACTTTTGTGTTCTAATTAAAAAAAAAAACGTTATGTAAATTTTTAAAACATCCCTCTATTTCGAGACTGAATGTAAAGTATGGAACCAAGCGGTTTGTTTTAATCATTTGACTCCGAAAAATAATAATTAATATAAATTAAAATAATATAAAAAATGTGATCGTCTTTTGAGAACGACATTTTGTTTTGTTTTTGAGTTATGCGATTTTTTGTTTGTGAAAATTGCAAAATTGCAACTTAAGTATTTTTTTTTTAATTAAATATAAAGTAGGTAGTTGTAATCGTTTGATCATAACCTTCATGACAAAAATGCTTTTCTAGTGTTTATCAAAAAAAATAAAAAAACTTATACAATTCAAAAACAATTTCGAAAAATTTTATTCTTAATAAAACATCACCTTTTTATAGTACTTTATCATTCATCAATTAGTTTTTCCAAAAAATAAAAAGTTTAAGCAAAAAACGTTTGGTTGACTCAAATTTAAACAACTACAAATCTGGTTTTACTCGGTTTCAAAAAATATGCGACAATTTCAACGCGGAGCTATGGCGCGGAGTGTATTTGGTTTTAAACAGTGATCGTATTTTCATTTTTGATAAAATTTATACTCAAGGATATCGCCCTGCAACTTGCCAAGCGGTTTTTAAACATAAATGAGAATCATGTCGGTTTTTTCGTCAAACGTTTTAGTAAATCTTACCAAATTCGCCAAGATTTGACTTTTTGTAAGTTAAAGTTTTGCCTGGTTACTATGTTTAATTTATTAAAACCAAATATGTATTTTAATGTCCACGTTACTCGTGAGACACACTGTGTAAAAAAACTAACTCAACTTATACTTCCATAAAATAATAAAGTTGATGCTTTCCGTCACCATGTATTTTATTTGTTACAAAAAACGTAAATAAAGTTTAGCTAATTTATGTATAAATAAGGAAAAATACTAAATCTAAAAGATGAAAACTTCCCTCAATTTTTATGCAATGTTTAGTGAAACAATACCTTTAACTCACCAGAAATAACAAGTAAAAATTCGTCAGTTTGCTTTGAATTGATCAAAGATCGTCCCTTTTTTTTCCACTGCACTTTATAAAATTCTTTTGTACCATCGCAAGGAACGTCAGTGCTAATTTTCGTCCATGACAATTCGACGGAAGTATCATTTACAGGAATAACTTGCAAATTTCTCCATCCTTTTACACCTTCAAACAGATAATTCACTTTGAAGAATTAACCCAATATCAATTTTCTCACCTGTTTTGCAAGTAACTTGTTGCGATCGGTCGCTAGCGATTTTCGAATACAAACGAATGTAACATGTATAATTTGTATTTGTATTAAGACCAGATGCCAAATGTTGCGTCTTGTTGGTGACGAAATCAGGTCCGGGGATTTCACGTCCCATTGCTGAAATTTTCAACTAAGGTTAGAACTGTTTTAGTGCATGAGGATAAAAAAAAAGTTGTTTTGCTCAATATTCGCTACTTTTTACCTGTGTAGTAGCAATAGATACTGTAAGCCTTGACAGACACATTATGAGGAGTTTCCCAACTAAGGCAAATACTTGTGTCGTCGAATGGCCTACATTGTACATTTTCAGGAGGACTAGGTGTGTGAACAAATGTGGGTATCAATTGTGCAGCTGCCCAAACTCTCCCAGCTGCATTTACGGCAATACACTGATAAATACCTGCAAACCTACAAAAGTCAAAATAAAACTAAAACAAACGATAATCCCCACCTGAATCAGAAGTAAATGTGTGACTGATAACAAGTCCCGTGGGATGCTTCTTGATTCTAGCTGCATTCGGCAAAGGTTCGCTATTTTTTAACCAGTAAATTTTCGGTTTTGGAACACCTTTAGCTTGACAATCTAATCGAACTGTTCTCGCTGGAGGATAAATTTTCGAAATAGGCGTTACATTAAAATAGGGTTTCTGGTAGACGTCAAGGGTATATTTTTGCGAAACACGCCCGCCGGAATTGTAAGCTAGGCAAGTGTAATCGCCGGCGTCTTCAAAACTTGCGTTGCGAATTTGTAAAACACTCGAATTACTAATAACAATACTATTATCTAATAGAAAAAGAAAACAAATTAGTTTGAATTAAACCAATGATAAGTGAAATTTACAATTAAGCCATTGTACTGTAGGAATAGGCCATCCAGTCACAGCACAATATAAATTTATGTTTTCTCCAATCAAAACAGTGGTATTCGGTAAAATATTAAGAGGTAGAAATGTAGGTTCTACAGTCTTCATCGGGGTTGAAGAAACCGTTAACTCAACTATCTTACTATATTTAGTCTTTTTAAGTAAATTATTTGTTGCAATACATCTAAAAAATTAATGAATTATCAATTTAAAGTACAAACGATAGAATTCACATACCTATATGATCCTGCATCTGAGGAATGAGTTTTTGTAATTAATAAAGCTCCCGTTGGGAGAGGAACATATCTGTAATGCAAAAACATCACTGTAAAATGACAAAATATTTACAGTAGAATCTCTATAATCCGAACTAATTATTGCAAGAGGTTCTCCAGATAACCGATACGGAGTAATGAATCAACTTGTTTAATTTTAATAAATAAACAATTGAAATATGTAATTATTAAAACATAACATACAGGATGTTTGCAAATTACGAACAAATATCCTAACAATTAATAGAACTCGTCAAGAAAAGCAACTTTTCAATTTCCAATTTTTACTAAAAACACGTCATTTCTATGTTAATATTAAAGCTGAAACCCGTCTCCATTTATGTCTTAATACCTACAATATTTACATTCTGCTATAAAAATTGCTCAAAATATGGTCCTTCGTTGGCAATACATACTTGTACCGTGCGATCAAAAAAATAAATAAATTAGAGTAGGCGGTGATTAAAGTCCTTCAGATGGCAATCCTGATTTTTGACATCAAATGACAAGTTTGTGTTTATTCCTTTTGAGTGAAATAATGTTCACATTAGAGCAGAATTTTTTCATTGCTGTACAAGAGGAAAATGGTGGATGGTCATTTTCACTTTAAGTGTGTGTGGAAAATTTCCAGCCGAGATTCCCAGCCAATGTGTTGCCAACTGTAGAATTTAATCAACGTCTACTCTAATTTATTTTTTATTTAGTCGCACGGTACCTTTCCAGGTAGTGAAGCTTGCGTTCGCACACACAGCCCTTCGAGGGTATTAATTTGGCCTGCGTATACCTTGAAGACCAAGCCTTCTTACGGAAAAATGGTTGTTCAACTATTTGATGACGACTCTACCATAATGTGGTGTAGGTCCATTTTGTAGATGCCGGCGTTGCCAAAGGCACGTTTTCCATCGGATAGACCAACACATTTTCCAAAAATTCCAGATAAGTGGCACCAGTTAAACGTTAAGGTAAAATATGGAGCCCAATTAGATGATCTTCAATAATCCTGCCCAAACATTTAATGAAAATCGGTCTTGGAAGTGATGCCCGTACACTAGTCAATTCGGCATTTGAGTAGTTGGTCATAATGATTTGATTTCAAATCAATGTGCACGATTCACCAGAAAGCGCGTATACAACTGCTTAAATTGACGGGTGTAAACACCTCATATTTTTTTTTGTAAACAAAAGTATCCTTTTTTGTGCAAAAAAAACCTTTACTGTAAATTACCTTTAAAATGCAAAAAAAATGTTGAATACGGAATTTTTTTGTTTTTCAAATTAACTTCTCATAACGAATTGTTTTAGTAGCTACAATATTTGCTCGTAATCCACGAACACCCTGTATTTTTACATATTTTGCTCAAACTGCACAATTATTATCATTTAATTTCTTCTAATTATAGTTCTGAGTAAGCAATTTCAATTACAGCAATGTGAGAAATTTCTCTCCACTATTTCTGTGAGAATATAGAACTGCAATAACATTACCACCACTGACTTATTCAAACAACCAATTCAATTTAATTACAGAAATGAAAAATGAATAATAGTGACAAAAAATTTAATAAAAAATTAAATGTTGCCATCTGGTATTACAAAACGACTCAATATTCAATTCGTTTGTTGTAATCCAAGGAACTCAGTACAAAATTGAGTTGGAAAGAGACACCAGAACAGAGTTAAAATAAATTATAAAACAATTCTCGTCAAACAATAATGTTTTTTTACACACAAAAATGGCTATTTTAAATGCTCACCTTGTGTTATGAGGTAGAGGTTTAAAATCCTGCTCCCACTTAATTTGTGCAGCAGGAAATGAGTTTATATTGCAGAAAAGTACTGCAGGCTGAGATTCTGGAACGCTCAGATTACTTGGTGGTTTGTCGAAATCGCCGAAAGCTGGAAAGGATTAAAGTAAATAAAGTTATACATAAATGGATAAACTGGAACTTGGTGAAGTTATGTTATAAATTAAGTAACAAAATTTATGGTTGTTTACGTATTCAGGGCAGTTAAGAGGTCCATAATGACCGAGGGAGTTGTTTCCCGCGGTCGTTATGGCCGTTAACAGCACATGCAGTTACAACGTTTTTCGTCGTATTAAATTACCATATTTAAAAAAAAAAAAACAAATTTTGAAAATGTCAATATGTATTTGAAGGACGAAACTCAATTGTAAAAACTTTAGTGTCAATAATTTGATTTGATTAAAAAAACACAACTATCGAGAAAACACGAAAATAAATAAAGTTTATTTATCTTAAAAAAGAAAAGAACATCTTTGCTTAATTAATAACATTTTTTCTGTTTGTCGCTTCTTCTTTCAAGACTTAAAATTTTATTAAATTCATCATTTAAAAGAGTGGTTTTAAAATGTGATAAATATTCTGTCTGAATTAATTTTCTTTAATATTCAGATAATCTTGAATTATTTTTCTTAAAAAATTATAATAAAAGAATAGACACAAAACACTTTACGAGTACATATGTAGGTATAGTTGGTACCAACAATATTTGAGACTCATTATAGAATAAGACGATTACCCCCCACGGTGGTTCATGGGGCTTGGGGTAGAGATGCCATAAACAAATTTGCATTTCTTAGGACAGGCACGTTTCAAAGGTTTGTAGGAAGAGATGGTCCGTAACAGAAATTTGTTTTTGGGCTTTCATCAAAAAAAATAATAAATTTTAATATTCAACTATATTTTGAGATTGTTTCTTTACAGATCTGCATTATCACTTTAATTTCAAATTAATATATAAATTCCCAAATCTTTACCTGTAATAAATTAAAAGCCTACCAAGAAAATTCCTGAATACGGCTCTTCTCTAAATCTTCAGGGTAGTACCACCAGCAATGAAAATTTATTACGGTCGACCGCATGGCTGCTTAACCCCCAATAAAGCTTTGCATACGTCAATCTCAAATATTCTTGGTGACGACTATAATTGTATCTAATGGGTGGAACATTTGTTAGTTTCTTTCTGAAGTAAGTGTTATTTTTACATTAGCAACACTGACGCGTCTGACATATTGACAGGTATAGTGTCAAACCTCCAGTTTAAGAAAAAAATTGTTTTACGCTTGAACAACGCTGGGAAATAATGAAAAATCATTTTCAAAGTAAGAGCTGTGTTGTAAAAACTGTGCAAAAGTTGTGCAAAAAAGAAAAATTTTTGGTCGAAATGCGATTTGACGCCGTTGGACTATTATTTACTCCAACGATCCACAAACCATTCGTAAAATAGAGACAAATAATCCACAATGTAATGCAAAATACATATTTATTTTTATATTTCTAATAAGAGAAGCAACAAAGTAAGCAATAAACTATTTTTTTTTTTTGAATACCAGCTTAGAAACAAAACAAATGACAGAAATAAATATCAGTTTTTGCAACTTTATACTGTTTCTATGGTGCATTTACACCTTACCTCTTAAAATGCGCTTCATCTATAAAGTATGTCGTCAATAGCAACGTATCTTATGAGTCTATAAAAGGCAGATGCATATTTTTTGTCAATTTTGACATACTTCTTTATATGTTTGAATTTCTGATTTAATATTAGTGTTGCAAAATTTTTTGAAGACAACACGAGTTTGATACGTAATTTAAAAGTCTCCCTCGGGTAGCTCAAATTTAAAACTACGACCTCAATTTTTAAACTGTCTATACAACTCTAGTTGTCTTAATAGCCATTTATTACTTATTGTATCAGTGTACCTATGTACACTGCAAGCGCTGCAGGAGTAACAGAAATCAAAGTCTGATTGAGAGAGCTTGTAGTGCTAGAAAAGGGTTCTTGTCGATTCTCCAATTAACTCCACTTGGATGAAAACAACCCTCGAAAAAACAAAATTTGAATTTGCCGGGTAAGAGTTACTAAAAAACGAACTATCAAGTCATTGTTGCCAACAGGGATAGTTCGTTTCTTCGTAACGCTAATCCGGCAAATTCAAATTTAGATGTTTTCGCCCAAATGGAGTTAATAAGAGAATCGATAAAAATGTCGATAACATAGCCCTTTTCGAGCACTGCAAGCTCCATCAATCAGATTTTGATTTCTGTTACTCCTGCAGCCGGAAAAAAAAAATAAAAACTAATTTCCCATGTTAATTTCCTATATTCAAGCCTGCCGGGGACACCCGGTATAGTATAGTATACCGGGTGGGGCATCCGTTACGCCCAAAAAGAAAATCCCTACTTCTAATTAAATAAAATTGTTGAATTTTTCACACTTACCTGGGCATTACTAAGGTACATTTTCTAAATTTTTGGTAATTTTGCATTCACAAACAAAGCAAAAAAAAAATAAAAACTAATTTTCTCCCAAAAAATTTAATTCTAATTTTTATACTAACCTACGCAGATTCACTTCCTACAATTGTTTACAAAATCAGAAAAAAAAAACAATTAAACGCAATTTTCCGTCTTAACTTTGAAAATCATTTTTATTTATGACCTGCTACTTGTGGCATCGTAAATTTAGGTGACAATGGGGAACTGCAATTGGGGTAAGATTCCAAGGTTTACAACAAAAAGACCCTTTAAAGCGGTCGGCTACCAATAAATGATTCTTTTGTTGGCAAATTATACAATTTTGTCATAAATCACGAGTCTGGTTTGTGTTTAAATAAAAAAAAGCGATTATTTGGCTAACCAAGTCAAAATTTGAAATTGTGATATCAAACTCTGATGCGCTGACATTTAGTGTAAAAACTAGGTAAATTAACAGAAAGTATTCTAAAACACACAAAACTGTTATGGACTCATTTATTATCCAAAAAAAAATAGAAAAATTCTCAAATTATACCCTACCAATAATTAGTTAGGTATATGAAATATCGCCAGTTTTAATTAATTTGAAGTCGCAATTTATCAAGTGCGCGTAACCGATGCCCCACCCGGTAGATATAGCCTATTTATAAAATAACGTAAACCATGAAAAGGCATAGAATAGTACTCCTATTTTTCACAGCGTTTCATTTTAATATACAATTTAAGCTAACATCGTTTCTGAGCATGAGTAAAAAAATCGTATAAAAAACCGTTTTATTGCCATAATAATAAGTGAGGCTTATTTTTGTTAGGTTGCGAAGGAAAAAGTGAAAATTTATCTACCATTCATCATCACTAAAAACCGGGCTATTAATAAATTTAGCATCGTTTTAGCTACTCTTACATGTGACTTTACCACGGTTTGATTACAAGTGCATGTATATTGTAAGAAAGATGCTAAAAATGTGAATTTTATTTCCATTGACTGCTTTTTTTACTAAAACAGATGTTCACAATGTGTTAGAGTGACAATTTTATAAACAATGTTTTTTTGGTGTTGTTTTTTGAGAATGAAAAAAAAATGCAAAAGTAATTTCATTCCTGTTTGTTTTTAAAAGTAGGATGATGACATTAATTACTCCTGTCAATCGAGTTTTTTATCTCAGTTTTTTTGCATACCTAATTCTGAAACCCTAGAAAGATACTCATCAACAAAAGTGTAAAGAACTTCAATTTCATTAAAATACCTTATAATTAATTATTATTTATGTGTAATTAGAACTGACTAATTTTTAAGTCGCACATTCAACAGTTTTTGTTTAATTTTAGAAAAATCAATTAAATTAAAATTCTAGAATACATTAAATCGTGTTTTATGGGTGTTCCTATTTTCGTTCTGATCATAAAATTAGTTCTAGCGGTTGCTTTCACTGCCCTTAAAAAAATCACTTTTTCAAACTTAAATTAAGCTTTCTCATCATAGGTATAGTAATTAATTTATTACCATAATTATAACACTTTAATGATCATAAAATACTTTAACATCATTCTTTATCGACGTATGTGCCACAAAAAATTAATTAACAAAATTTTCCGAGCGTATCTTTGCATTTTTAAAGTGTTTTATTTTCAATAACATTTTGTCTTATTTTTTTAAACTTACATGCAATTTTTAATTTTGCCGGATTTGAGAGCAATGAAACATTTTGAACCATAGCTCGACATCGATATTCTCCCACAAGCCCTTTGGTTTTTTTACTGCCGCCAACCTTAGGGAAGTAGAGAGAGCCATCTTCCTGTATAACTCGCCTGGTGTCGTTGCTATCAACTGGATTATCATTATACAACCAAGATATTTGTAAACCAGGTGTTAGGGACTTGGTATCGCATTGTAAAATGGCCGACTGTCCTCTGCTCACGGTCACATCTTGCGGATCTTTCAGTTCGATCGACAGAGGGACTTCTTCTGGGTGTCCCACGGCTCCTGCAAACGCTGAAGAAAAAAAAACATTGTAACTAAATTTACATCAAACCAAATTCAATTTTTAATGTATATCAAATATTTAATTGAATAACTAGATTTTATAAAAATCTTAAATGGTGATGTCTAAGAAAATAAAAAGTTTCATTTTGGCATCTAGTATCAATAATAGTTATTTATTCACAATCACCAATGTAATTATTATATCACGAGTGTTAACGAGTGGTTTATCATCGACGAGGTGGAATAAATGAACCGATTTACACGAAGACGAGTTGAATACAACATTTTATTCTTCGAATTAGACTCAACAAGGCTTACATCTGTTAAAAATTATGTGACGTTTCGTATTGAGAAATGCCAAACTGTCGTCAAAACTTCTTTACACCGTAAATTTTGACAGTGTCAAAGAATAAAAAATTTAATTCGCGTTTAACGATAATATTATTGTTTAACAAGAGGGCAGCTTCCTAAAAACTATTTAGCTGCAAGACTACAGCTTGTTAAAAGGCATAATTATTTACCAGTTTGAAAATTTATAAAATGGTACAAAACAGCGTTTTTTGTGCTGCTCAATACCGATACTTAAGAAAGAAGAACATTTCCTATGTGAGACTTTACAACGAAATTATTTTGAACACAGTTCCGAACTATTAATTCATATTAGAGGCAAGGTCGAAAAACAAGTGAAATGTCGGCTCGTCTCCCTTTTAATCCGATAGAGTCTAATAAATAATTTAAAGAAAATTTTGTTTGTTTTGGAATATTTTTCAAAATAAATTTTAATTTTCCCACAGTGAATAAAGCGTGTACCTATTTTAAATCAATGCTGCACCCGACGATATTATACAAACATAAAAGTCGACATTTAAAATATTACACAGGGCGACAAAAAAAAGTCATGTCGTGACAACTTGAAAAATTATACATTATTATAATGATTTTTTAAAGTTAAAGTATTTTAAATTCATTTAAATTAGAAAAAAAATATTTAGTTCAAAGTGTGTAGACCTTTTTAAATTTTTTTTAGTGCATTTGACTTGTCTCATTGAGACGAACAAAATGATACATAATTTGTCAAGTTGTCACATGACTTTTTTTCTCGCCCTGTGTTATGGAGTGTCCACCCAGTTCAAAAAAGTTACGGACAATTGTTCGAGTGCCAATTGTTCGAAAACAAATTATTCGAAAATCCAGTTGTTCGAACAGCATATTGATAACGCCAATTTTTCGAAAACTGATTGTTCGATAAGTCATTTTTAGTAGGCAAGTAACATTTAACAAAAACAAGTTTCTTTTAGAGCTTATTAGGAAAATTTCTTCGTAGGCGCAATCCAGAAGAAACCGGGTGAAGAGGAGAGCTCTTACGTCTTCCGTATTTTTAATACTTGTCAATTCTTGCACAATTATCAAAAATTACGGAAAATACATAAATAGACATACCTATACAAACATCAACATAAAATAATAATATACAGGGGGTGTGTCAGAACTCGCGCCCCAGAGAAAAATTTCCGGTAAGATAGGGAAAAAATTCTGTCTGTCAAAAAATTTTGACATTTGTTTTTTGACAATTGAATTTTTTCATGTCTATTTAATGATACTAATGATCTTGTATATGTTTATTTTTATAATTATTCAGTAAAGGTACAAAAATTTTGCCAATAAAAGCCACAAACAACATTAAACAAAGTTACAATTTAGAATAAAGCTTCCTTGTTTCCTGTTGTAATAGCCTGTAGCAAAAAACTTGGAAAATTATTTTTCCAACAGAAAGAAATAGAGTCAAAGTACAAAATTTAAACTCTCATAACTTCAAAATTTGTCTAGATAGAATTTTTTAACATTTTTTCCTTATTCCTGGTGTCTTACCTTTCTCTGGGGCGCGAGTTCTGCCGCACCCTGTAGGGTGACAAAAAAAGTAAATTGGCGCACAGTCCAATTTTGCAAATGCAAGTAATTTACTTTTTTTGTATGATTATGTTCTTATTTTATGTTATACCTACAGAGTGTTCCGTTTTTATTGTTACAAATTTAAACAAGAGATAAAATATTCAATCTTAAGACAAAAGTTTCCTACAAACATGTATCGAAAAATGCTACGCAAGGGAGCTACACCCTCTCAAAAAGGTGCGTCATGAAACTCGTTTAGGTGTGTAAAAGTTATCAGGGCTACCAAATTTTGAAAACTTCCTTTTAGAGGGTGTAGCTCCCTTACATAGCATTTTTCAAAACATGTTTATAGGAAACTTTTGTCTTAAAATTGAATAGAATAGAATATTCTATTTAAATTTGTAACAATAAAAACGTAACATCCTGTATTTCTGTAATATGTATATCAATTTATTTTCCTTAATTTTTGATAACTATGCAACAATTGACAAGTATTAAAAATATAGAAGACGTAAGAGCTAATCTCCACGCGGTTTCTTCTGGATTGCACCTTACAAAGAAATTTTCCTAACAAGCTCTAAAAGAAACTCTTTTTAGTTTTTAGTAAATGTTACTTTTCTACTAAAAATCACTTTTCGAAAAATTGGCATTCGATCAATATGCTGTTCGAAAAATTCGCTTTCGAAAAACTGGATTTTCGAATAATTTGTTTTCGAACAACTGGCTTCAAACAATTGTCTTTCGAACAAATGACCAGTTCAAAAGGTTGTGTTACTTAAATTGTCAATTTTTTTACATAAGTAGATAAACATAAAAATGAAAACTATTACCTATATGTACTTGTAAAAGTGTGGAGATTTTGTCAAAACTAAAAACATCGCTAATGTGAAAATTATTCCAACTGAATGCGAAATATTTAATTTAGTAAACCGGAAATTATGATTAAACTTTATTTGCGCTTTGTGTAACAAACCAAAACTAACTAAAATTTAACACTCTTGTTAACTATACAGTATGTATATATGTACATACACATAGCGTGTTCTCAACAATTTAATCAATTGAGGCGTTTCTTGGAATTACCGCAAATGTCCAAAAATTGTCAAATTGAGTTAGGTGCGCCATCTGGTAGCCAGATTTTATTTTGATTTATGAAACTTTTTGTCCGTATAGAACTTTTCTTTGTCAGTAAGTTTAATATATTAAAAATACTTTTCCGTTAAGTTGCAATTTTTTTCCTGCATAAACGAAACATGTCCATCTTTTTTTTATCAGACGTTATAAAATGATTGTAGAAGTGAAAATAGGAGAAATAAAAGTGACAAAGTGTTTTATATAAGAACAGTAAGGCCGCCCTCTGGTCCGACCAGTGGTGTGTTGTCTTTCTCGCACTTATCTACTTCACTCACCCAAAACATAACAGTGATTCAAAAAATGCAACACGAGAAATTTTATTTTCAAAAAAATATACTCTAACAAACATTTAAAATTAACAATTTACAAATTGTAAAGGTAAAAAAATATTAATTTATCAAAAAACAAAAAACACATTTTATCCAAATGGAGTCCTATAGTTTGAGAACGACTGGTAGTCTCTCCTATCTTCCGCTACGCTCTACGGTTTGTACATTGTTTCACTCATTCGCATAATAACGACAAAGACAAAACTAGTAGTGCATAGGATTGTGTTATTGAAACAGTCTTGCGATAATCGAATCAAATTTAAAAAATTCTAGTATAGTAAAATCATATCGTCTAGTGTTATTACAACCAAAGAGTTACAAGTGCTTTTTTAAATGACATCAAAAACGATATTTCCGATAGTTGTGACGTGACTCAGACAAACAACCTTTGGGTGAATTAGCAAATGAAATTAGCGGCTAAGGTAATAAACTTTATTTTTAAATTGTCATTCGTTGTAACTTCTACTTCGGGTAGAATATTGCTGAATAAATTCCCAAGGCAAAAAAAATTGTTTAAATTAGTTTCATAAAAAATCAGTATAGCCGCAAGGCATCTAGAAAAATAGAAAAACACGTAAGAAAAATAAACTATTAAAATAGAAATAGTTATTTATGTACCAAAGAAATAAACAACTACATATTATTTACATAATACATATTTAAATCTCGAGAATATAGGTATAATGCTAGAGGAGACCGAAAGAAGCCGAGGGCATTTTCATTCGGGTGCATACAAAACTTTCCACCAAATAAATTAATAATAACATAAGAAAATAATAAATTTGTCAAATAATGTCAAATATTATCCATTCACGAAGCTGTTGCCGCTAAGCAATATAATGAAGCCGAGGCTGACAGGTACCAGTGCACCCAAAACATTTCGCCCTCGATTTGGGTTGGGTGACGACACTTCTTCATCCGAAGAATATTCTCATACATAATTATTATTAGCCGTAGGATAAGGTACATGTATGGAAACGAATATTTGTTAAATATTTTTAAATAAATTTTAAAATTTGAGTCGTTACATTTTTGTCACCACTGATCCGGAATTATGCTTCTCATTTGAAAGTTTTACATCACTATCTTCCTCTTACTTCGACAACATACAGTGACATGGAAAAACAAGAATAGACATATTGAGTAGGTACCGAAAACCCTCGATTTTCACAACAAAAGAAACAGGCACGAGCGTTCGGTTTGAGGGTGATTATGGGTTTATGGCTTAGCGGCAACAGCTTCGTGAATGGATACTAATTTGTCAAAATATTAAGAACATTCAATTACAATTGAAAAATAACAATATCAAAATGTTTATTTATTACAAAAAACCACGGCTTCCTTGATTAATGAAGGAAGTTTCCCTTCACCCGGCTGGTCGCATTGCATTGTACCCTTAACCAACTATTTTGAGTCAAAAACAAGTCCCCTCTTGGAATTAATTTATAATGAAGACAGAGGAAAGCTCAAATATTCATCTGAAAAGTTTATTGCGTTAATTCATTATGTCATAGGAGTGATTTTGGAAATAATACCCAGTGTGCCTACGCAAGATGTAGACTACATTTTGAAAACAATAATTGTTTCATATTTAAATGAAAATCCCATATTCTCCTGCGAGGAACATCGCAATGTCTGCGGCATTATCGTTGACAA